TGGGCTGCCATTGGGAGCATTAATCTAGATTTGTTTTAATTTGGGAGCAGTGGGCTGCCCAGGGAGCAATCGGGGGTTAAAGGTCTTGTTCAGCGACCCAGAGTGGCAGGCTGTACGGAAGAGGATTAGGGCCACTGAAAAAAAAAAGTTAACTGATTTTTTTTTATTTTATTTCAGTTTAACATGGGAAAAAAGTCAGAATTCTGAGAATAAAGTCAGAACTTTGAGATTAAAGTCAGAATTCTGACTTTAATCTCAGAATTCTGACTGAATTCTCACAATAAAAAAGTCAGAATTCTGAGAATAAAGTCAGAACTTTGAGATTAAAGTCAGAATTCTGACTTTTTATTCTCAGAATTCAGTCAGAATTCTGAGATTAAAATCAGAATTCTGACTGAATTCTGAAAATAAAAAAAGTCAGAATTCTGAGAATAAAGTCAGAACTTTGAGATTAAAGTCAGAATTCTGACTTTAATCTCAGAATTCTGACTGAATTCTGAAAATAAAAAAGTCAGAATTCTGAGATTAAAGTCAGAACTTTGAGATTAAAGTCAGAATTCAGTCAGAATTCTGATTTTAATCTCAGAATTCTGACTGAATTCTGAGAATAAAAAAGTCAGAGTTCTGAGAATAAAGTCAGAACTTTGAGATTAAAGTCAGAATTCTGACTTTTTTTATTCTCAGAATTCAGTCAGAATTCTGATTTTAATCTCAGAATTCTGACTAAATTCTGACAATAAAAAAGTCAGAGTTCTGAGAATAAAGTCAGAACTTTGAGATTAAAGTCAGAATTCTGACTTTTTTCCCCATGTAAAACTGAAATAAAATTAAAAAATCTGTTAACTTTTTTTTAGTGGCCCCAATCCTCTTCCGTACAGGCAGCCACTCCCCTTCAAGCAGTTATCTTATTTTTAGTAGCCGCCTCCTTTTTCGATCAATTCATTGTTGGTTCTAGTTGGCTTCAATCCATCATCAAACTTTAGTTACCTGATCTAAGAAATCTGATACTAACATTTAAAAGTAACACACTCCAAGGTAAGAATAAATAGGATACTTTAATATACAATACAATTACAGTACACTGCGGAAAACAATGACAACAGTCAGTTAATGAAGAACGCCGTGACTACAAAGGAATGCCGGTGCTCGGAGAATGTGCTTCATAAGTGCAAATAAAACACTTGATATCTAGTCGCACGTTAACGTCATGATCTTCGGTCCGAATTGAAAGATGAAAAGGACAGACAGGGCTAAACGAGGAGGTGGATGCAAATGCACTTGGTGTGAAAATAGGAGAAATCTCTCACCCAGCACACGTCTGATCAAATATAACTGTCAGCTATTGCATATTAATAATAATAAAAAAAAGCACACAGCGACACTCTGGTTAATAAGGAATGTTGAGCTTTCTCCTGCTCATTAGAAGCTTAATGCAATAAAACATGTTCAGCTTGAGAACAGCTCCAGTGTTCAAGTTCAAACGCACCTTAAACCCTCAGCATGAAGCTTTGCTCTGCAGCAAATCACCCTGAAGCGTTGGCAGCACCACGTAGATCCACAATCCAACAAATCAGCCATTTATTAAAATATATGATGGTTCAAATAAAACTGCAACAAAATGGGCCAATTAAATGTATAATTAAACCTGAATGTGCATTTTCTTTTATACTAAATAAAATATATAATTTCCTTCACATATAAATAAATATGATTTTTCATGATTGCAGTTTTATTTGAATTTTCATGACTAAATATTTGTTATGATTTAATGAATTGTGGCAACTTAAAGCAGCCAAGATAAAGTCTCACTTGATTTACTTTAAATCAGATAAATAAACAAGTCTGCCCGGTTATAGCTGCTGGTGAGGAAGAGGAGTGAATATGACCTTTGACCTCAAACACTAAAAGGAGAAGCAGACGAGGGTTTTTGGTTACTGGTGCCTCTAAACATTCTACAGATGACATCTAACAAAACGGATTTGGAGAAAAAAAAAATTGAGGTTAAACGTGTATTAAAACAAAAATGACAGCCTCATTACGTCCAAACGCGTCCAGGGATCTAAAGCAGCAGCACATCACATGTCATTCATTTTGCACAACAGAAAATAAAAAAAAAAGAAACGCAGAGAAACCCAGGACGCATTTCCAGCAGTGCACAAAACGTAACATAAGAACGAACTTAAAAAAAGGTAGATTCGGCATTAAATACCTGAACATGAAACCCCACATCTTAAGTTCCCCGTTAAGGCAAAAAATAACTTTTTTTTGTTTTGTTTTTTGGAGGGTGGAGTGCATAAAAGCGTCAGTGTTGACTGAATAACTGCATATATGCTGAAATTCTAACGCGCTACAGTCCGGTCAGACCCGAACCTCTGATGGTGAAAGAAAAGAAAGCAGAAGAGAAAACCTGTACTACTCACTGTACATATTAACAACCAGTATACTCTCACTAGTCTCTATTGCCTAAAGGATACTCAACACTTCTATTACCTAAGAAAACTTGGTAGAGAGCGTCTCTGCCTATCTGGGTACATTTATGCAGAGGAGCGTAATATCCATGCTTTGGGATCCACAGGAACATTTGGTTCATTTCTACAACATCCATATTAGAGTGGAGCTGGATGAATGGGACGACAAGGAGTTAACCAGAGTTAGGGATGCTAATGCTAACAAGTTACTGCTAACATTGCAGACAGAGGCAGTTGTAGAAGAAAAAAAACACTTTAAATCGTTATCAAAGCAACGTTGGTCCTGTAAACGTGTGAGCAGAAATGGAGTGGGTTACTTCAAAAGTTGAAGTAGTTTAGGAAGCAGACGTGGGGGCTTAAAAAGGTTGTAGTTTAAGTGTTTACTCTATTAAAAAAAATACAAATTTCTACATTAGAGAGGTACGGAAGAGGATTAGGGCCACTGGAAAAAGAATTTACTGATTTTTTTAATTTTATTTCAGTATAGTATGGGAAAAAAGTCAGAATTCTGACTTT